TGATGGAATGCGCTTGTGTAACCAAATTTTACGCATTAAATCAGTAATGGAGTCTACAAGGTCATCCCCCCCCCGTCTTGAAAGAGTAGGAGGAAGCCCGTCTGGCCCTGCTGCCTCAGGGTCCTCAGAGAGGCGTAAGTGAAACTTCGCAGAATAGTTAGATGGGGACGTCAATCAGGTGGCGGAGCTGGAGTCTTGAAGGCGACTTTCTTGGATGCGGNGGAGATATCGGTGGTCAAATACAGAAAGTCGATTAGCATCCTCCGCTCGGAGAGGCCAGGTCTCGCAACCGTAAAGCAGAACACTACCAACCACCGGGCCAAGGAGGATAAACAGCGGTTACAAAAATGTCTCCGTCAATTTGCGATGTAACATTTGAAAAAAAACGACGTTTGAGGCTCAAGAATTACGAAATTTGTCTAAAACTTGATGGGAAAAGGTGTGATAAAGGTATGGTGTCTTTTGTGAATGGTGTTTATTATCCTGGTACTCTTAATGTGTCCAGCAATCAAAACTGTAGTTCACTTTAAGTGAAGATACTGCACGGAAGCATTTTTTTTTAAATATTGTATGATTTTAATTCATGTCCGGGCTTGTAAATTCAAAACAATATACCGTTTCTGTTACATTTAGGATTTTTAATCAGGACTATCACATGTTATACGGAAACACTGAAATGTGTCCAATGGTTTGACGATACGGGCATATCGTTTAAACCCTCTTCAATCAACGTGTGATGCAGCGTGTCCACCAAGTCTCATTACTTGACCAAACTTTGCAACATCAACATTTGTAGAAAATAAAATGCTTCAACAGTCATTGATTTCATTGTATTCCGATACTTATTGATCTGACTCGTCTACAATGGTATGACTACAGTTTGTGCGTCCAAACTAAAGGACTACGGGTCGTGGCTAAAGTATTGCAGGTTTTGGGTAAAATTTGATGGAAAAAGGTGTAGTAACCAAATAGGAAGGAGGAACTTGTGAATGAGCCGATTTGTCGATGAACACCGAACAACGGTCGTGGCGGACATGCATCGAATATGCAATCCGATAAAATGGAGGCAAACAGTTCATGATCACAAACAACATTACCTCAACGGATCCAAGTGGAAGCAACCAAGAATTGGGGCGGTTTAAAAGACAATCCACAAGTACAAAAAAGAAAAAAAACACTCATTTGGATCTCATTTGTCCCAGGGCTACGCCGATGAGAATTCAGTGAGTGTGTGTATGTGTTGAACTGTTCTCGACGCCCGAGGGGTTTCACAGAGAAAACTCATCATGTTAATGGGCATCCAAGCCGTTTGAATGAGACTTACATAAACAAAACAAGTATCGATTTATTGCACTACTGTGTGTATTCACGTTCGGAAACTCGGATCTGAACGACCGACTGTGCCCGTGGTTTGCAGTTCAGCGAGAACGTAACGCTTACAGCGTGGTCCGCAATGAAAACGTAATAGCTCAAGCTATTTTCAACATGTCCCCTGGGCAAGCACAATTTTACACATTTAAGTGTTTCAATATTCACATATGTTCGTTGACTGTTATATAGTGTTTTGTGGTGGTGGTGGTGGTAGAGGTGTGGTTAGGATAGACAAGCACTCACCATGTGGACATGTCAGCACATGTTTCGATCACGGGGTCATGAGAAGAACAATATCTATTCCAGGAGTCGGTGTCAGACGAGAGCCAAATTACGAATGTAGACATAAACTACCAAGGGTAAAGTGACCAGTCTAGTAATCCAGTGGGTACTTGTTTCGATTTAACTTGTACAACCATTAATCATGCACCATCGAGGTGGCAGTTTTAGTTGCTGTCTTTTGGCTGCCGATTTGGATGAAGCGCCGTGGCGACCTATTTGGTGACATGCGTAACACATGTCCCAGCGAACGTAATCTACGGAGGTCGACCACTTGCTCCGATTACTTAAAACTCTCCGCCTAGTCCGGTTGTCCAAACCAGATTCGTGTGAAGTTGCGTAGACAGTATGGTGTTCAGACACCGACAGTCTATCTTAATGGCAACGTTTCGGTGATTCTTCTACAGGCTAATACATCACATTTTTGACGGAAATGTGGGCACAGTCACCTGTACAAGTCATCTATAATCCAATAACACAATACAATGAAATTTATATCAAACCCACCCATCCCATAATGACCGGAACCAGTGCGCATGTGTGGGGACCAAAAGTGTGAGCGAATTCCGGTCACGGAACTGGAATGTTGATTATCTCTTTTCCAATTTGTCATGATTTCTCTCCACCCTCCCTTCTAAATAGTTTGATATAAATTGTGATGTATTAGCCTGTGGAGGAATAATCATTGCAAACGAACTTGTTCGTGTTTTTTACAATGAAATAAAAAGCTTATCAGTGATTAGCTGAAAAATAATGATAGATAAAAATGAGTTGATGCTTGGCCAGGTGAGATAGGAATAGTTTGCACAGGCATCGTGGGAACCGGGTGTGCGAATGAAAAGTAGATAGGATGGTTAAGAATGTTTGTCCATCTTTGCGTTGGCTAGCTTTTGTGTTCAGAGGAGTTCATGTTTGATAGATTGAGCGTAAAGATTAGGTGGCAGACTGTCATAAAGTTTAACCATCGTACACTACAATA